TTTCTTCTGTGGTGCTGAGGAATCGAACCCAGGGCCTAAGGCATGCAAGGCAAGCGCTCTACCACTGAGCCACCTTCCCAGCCCTTCTAAATTAGTTTTGATCTAACTTTAACTTCACAGGACAAAAATAATGGGCTAGTCTAATAAATACATAAAAAGCTAATATTACAAAACAATCTAGATACTCAGAAATACCTGTTTATTCTTCTATTTTCTCTACATTTAACATTTTCATAAAGAAAAAACATTTAAATAGTGATTACTTGGGGCTGGGAAGCTGGCTAGTGGTAGAGTGCTTGCCTTGCATGCATGAGGCCCTGGGTTTGATTCCTCAGCACCACATAAACAGAAAAAGCTGAAGTGGCACTTTGGCTCAAGTGGTAGGGGGCTAGCCTTAAGCTGAAGAGCTAAGGGACAGCGCCCGGGCCCAGAGTTCAGGCCGCACGTCCAACAAAATAAATAAATAAATAAAAGTGATTACTCAAGAAGTCTGCTAATACTAATGCTAATACTAGTACAAACCTGTGATAATGTTCTTTTTTTTTTTTTGGTCAGTCATGGGGCCCGGATGCTGTCCCTGAGCTTTTTCACTCAAGGCTAGGGCTCTACCACTTTGAGCCACCAGCCAGCATGTAGCTGGCTGACATATTTCTATACATTGTTAATTTTCCTTCCTTCCTTCATTCCTCCCTCCCTCCCTTCCTCTACTTGGAACTGAACTTTGTACTTGAGCTCCATCACTTGAGCTATAGCCTCAGGCTTGATTTTTTTTTTTTTTTTTAGATAAGGTCTCCTTAGTTTTGCTCCAGCTGGCCTCTAACTGGTGATTCTTCAGCCTTAGTCTCTTGATTAGCTGAGATTTTAGATATGTGTGTGTGTATGTGTAAGTGTGTGTGTGTGTGAGAGAGAGAGAGAGAGAGAGAGAGAGAGAGAGAAAGAGAGAGAGAACACCTCTAGCTGATTTCTGTCTTTTGATCATTTATATTTAAAGTAATTATTGATAAGAATTTTGCAAAAAGCCTAACAGCTTTTTGTCTCTCATTTCCTGCTTTACTGTCTTTTGTGCTTATTTAGGTTTTTTTTTTGTTTTGTTTTGTCAGTTGTGGGGTCTGAACTCTGGGCCTGGGCACTGTCCCTTAGCTCTTCAGCTCAAGGCTAACGCTCTACCACTTGAGCCACAGCACCACTTCCACTTCCAGCTTTTTCTGCCTATGTGGTGCTGAGGAATCAAACCCAGGGCCTCATACATGCAAGGCAAGCACTCTATCACTAAGCCACCTTCCCAGCCCAGGTGTTTTGTTTTGCATTGATAATTCCCTTATTTCCATTAAAACATTTATTAGTTGTGGGGCTTGAACTGATGACCTGGGCTCTAGCCACAGTGCCACTTCCAGTTTTCTGGTGGTTATTGGAGGTAAGAGTTTCACAGACTTTCCTTCCCCGAGCTGGCTTTGAACCATTATGCTTTAAATCTCAGTCTCCAGAGTAGCTAGGATAACAGGCGTGAACCACCAGCACCCGGCTACATTTAGTATCTTAATGCTATAACATTCTTATAGCTACTACTTTTTTTTCTCTTTTATTTCTTTTTTGTGCTAGTACTGGGGCTTGAACTCAGGGCCTGGGCATTGTCCCTGAGCTTCTTTTGTTCAAGGCTAGTGCCCTTCCACTTGAGCCACAGCTCCACTTCTGGCTTTTTTGAAGTTTATTGGAGATACAAGTCTCATAGACTTTCCTGTCTGGGCTGGAGTTGAACCATTATCCTCAGACCTCAGCCTGCTGAATAGCTAGGATTACAGGAGTGAGCCATCAGTGCATGGCTTAACAACTACTTTTTAAGTAGATATATTAGAGAATGTGTATGTGTATAGGTTGTATGTGTGTGTTAATGTTTCATTTAAGCAAGTCTTGAGACTGTAAACTGCCAGAATTATTACAAATATGTATGGAACAGTCCTAGAAATCTTACATAGTAATAGTCTGTCACTATATAGTGTTTTTATCATTTAACAGGTAGCAGCTATTCATTAATTGTCCAAAAGTAACCAACCAAGAAATAATCATTATATAACTTCTACTTTTAGAAAAGCATAGGACATTTATATTTTCATTTTTTTTCTCACTGGAAACGTGTGTGTGTGTGTGTGTGTGTGTGTGTGTGTGTGTACTGGGGCTTGAACTCAGGGCCTCCCATGCTTGCTTAACTTTTTCCTTCAAGGCTAGTACTCTACCATATAAGCCACACATTCACATCTAGCTTTTTGTGAGTCTCTTGGTATCTGAGCTGACTTCAAACGGGGATCGTCAAATCGGACATAGGATTACAGGTGTTAGCCACTGGTACCCAGCCAAAATGTCTTTAAATCTATTACTGAGCTTCACAACAGAATGGACAAAGGAGATTAAGCAACCAGGGAGAGTACCATTCACATTAGCAGAAATTAAAAAGTAAGATAATTATATTGATTACCAGAACAGAATCAAATTTTAATCAGCTTTTTTGCCAGTCCTGGGGCTTGAACTCAAGGCCTGGGCACTGTCCCTGAGCCTTCCTGTACTCTACCACTTGAGCCACAGGGTCACTTCCGGCTTTTTCTGCTTATGTGGTACTGAGAAATCGAACCCAGGGCTGCATGCATGCTAGGCAAGTACTCTACCACTAAGCGACACTCCCAAGCCCTTAAACAGCTTTCTTTTGTATAGGTATTTATAATAAAGTAAATTAACCATTGAATAGGAAGAGGGAAAAAAACTAATGCAAATTAATATAGTAGAAAAGAGAAAAAGGGTATATAGAAATAATTACTGTTAATTACTCTGAAAAGACGTGGTCTAGCCTATCCAACTTTCATTATAACAATCCTGATGACAATCCTGTAAGTGCGACCTCAATAAATATGCTCTAATTATTAGCTAATTTTAGCTTGTCTATTGTGAATATCTGTTAATAGAAAGTGAGAGACCATTTTAAGATAATAGGATGAATTGAATTTTACCAACAGTCAAAACTGAGACAATAGGTTTGACATCATAGTTTTAGTATATTCCATATTTTTGGTGAGTCTGACGATGCAGACTTAAATTCTTCATCAGGACATTCTGTTTTCTATATTTTTACTTTCAAGCTAACAAACTGTAAGCTTAGAACACTTATTAATGAAAAAATAGGTCATAACTGATAACTTCTACTGCTATTACTAAGGATGGTGGACCCAGGTAGACATATTATTAGTGATAACACCATGGATGAAGTTTGCACATAAAAAAAACCCCAAGAACATACTCTTCAGAAAACTTCTGAGACTGTCTTAAAGTAATCAGTTCTGTTCCACTAGGCTTCATCAGAGTACGGAGAAATAAATATAACAGGAAAAACTCTTCCACCATCGGCCAGCATCTCCCAAACCAGGCAAGGGTCCACCCATCGTATTTGGCCTGCATACTAGGGTAGTGGTTTAGGCATGTCTCTGAGTCCTGGGAGGAAAATGTTATACACTGCACACCCTGACTACCTCACCAAGAATACTATGGGTCAGACTGCTAGGAAAGAAGTGTAGGTAAGGAGAAGAGCAGATGGCAAGTGGGCTGTGGCTCAGATTGCTTCCATGGGGTTGTGCCAAAAGCATTCTCAAATTCCCTGTGCTGTCTCTACCCTCACATTATAACCACTAAAGCACTTACTTATTAAAACCTTATGAGTTTGAAGAAGTGTTTGAAAGTCACTAGTTTAGATGAACACTTAACCAATAAAACATTCCTGTATCTAGCCCCAGAAAGAAACATGCTCAATATCTTCTTGCCACTCAGGCTGTTATGTCCCAGGGGTATGTATTCTGCCAATGGAAAGATGTGTTAGGCCTTTGGTATTTCCCAGTACCAAACTCAAACTTACCTCCTTCCTACCTTCATCTTCTGGTTCAAGTTATTCCTCTTACAAATTATATGAAATAAATCTGTGTTCCCTTTTTTCTGACTAATCAAACATCACTTATTGGATAATATCCATTGTTACTCTAATGTGTAGCTAACTTGATGCATCCTCTGGTTTTTTTGTATACTCATATGGACCACTCCTTGGCACTTATGTTTTATTGTTTGTTATCTTTAGCATTTCCTATGCCTTCCTAACAAGAACATAATCTCAGTCTTATTTTTAAGCCCGTTTCTCTATCTTTTCAGTATCTGGCAGCTAAGTAGATTAATACATATGTATGTGCTACATTCAATCATATTTCTTTATAGAAATGTACTCAAATTATATCCAATGATCAGTCTACACCCTGTGTATTACTTGTTTGCTAACATTTTGCTCTCCTTTCAGTCTCAGCCTTCTTGGGCAGAGAGTAGTTGCCATGGACATATTTTCTTATGACTTCAATTAAAGATTAAAACCTATTACTATAGTTTGCTTTTTCACTCCCTCTAACTAAATCTTCCCTATTTTTTCTGCAATACTTGGGATTGAACACAAGACATTTAGAAAACACTCTACCATTTCAGCCATACCCATAGTCCCTTTGCCTTTGTTTTTAGTTTGCTTTTCAGATACAGTCTCAACACTAACTTTGCCAGGACTGGCCTACAACTGCAATCATCTTGTCTCTACCTCTACAAAATAGCTGGAATAATAGGTCCTAAATCGTCTGTATTTGTGTGTGTGTGTGTGTGGGGGGGTTGTTGTGGGGCTTAAACTCAGGGCCTGGGCACTGTCCCTGAGCCTCTTTGTACTCAAGGCTAGCACTTTACATTTCAGCCACCACACCACTTCCAGTTTTTGAATGGTTAATTGGAAATAAGAGTCTCATGGGGACTCTTCTGCCCAGGTGAGCTTTGATCTTCAGATTTTCTTGGCCTCTTGAGTAGTTAGGATGACAGGTTTGAGGCTGTCATAAATGCTATTTTCTGCAAAGTAGTAATTCAGTAAATATTAGTGTGGATACATATCACAGCTGGGACACTGACTAGAGCTAGACAAAATACACATTTAATTGCCACTTTACCTCTGCTTTACGGATATTTTCTCTGGCTTCATCTATTTTCTGTTCCAGGTCTACCCGGTTTTGTTCTGATATGGCAACTCCATGACATTCCAGATCATTCAGAACCTATTGAAGAAAATAGAAAAATAATGACTGTTTCTCAATTATCTTTCCTTACTTGAAAGTATTAAGATGATTCAAAAAGCTTTAGGCTATTTTGGCCATTTTGAACTTTAAATTATTTCATTTATTCATTTATTTAAACTTTTTTTTGTGTGGGGGGTGTGTCAGTCCTGGGGTTTGAATTCAGGGCCTAGGTGCTGTCCTTGTTTAAGGCTAGAGCTCTATCAGTTGAGCTATAACTCCACTTCCAGAGTTTTGGTGGTTAATTAGAGATAAGAATCTCATGGACTGGGCTGGGAAAGTGGCTCAGTGGTAGAGCACTTGCCTTGCATGCATGAGGCCCTGGGTTCGATTCCTCAGCACCACATAAGCAAAAAGCCGGAAAGTGGCACTGTGGCTCAAGTGACAGAGCGCTAGCCTTAAGCTGAAGAGCTGAGGGACAGCACTCAGGCCCCACGACCAGACCCTCCCCCCACCCTCTCCCCCAAAAAAAGAATCTCATGGACTTTCTGTCTAGGCTGGCATCAAACCATGATCCTCAGATCTCAGCCTCCTGTGTAATTAGGATTACAGGTATGAAACTGGTACCCAGTCTTAAACTTTTTCTTTTTTTTCTTGCCAAAACTGGTGTTTGAACTCAGGCGATTGTGCTTGCTAGGTAGCTCTTACCCCTGAACCACACCTCTAGCCCTTTTTTGCTGGTTATTTTTGAGATAGGGTCTTGCTTCCTGCTTGGGCTGAGAGAACAACCAAAGTCAGACTTTCTGCTGTGGATAGGTATTCAGCTCTTCACTGAGAAAGAATCTCACAAACTTTCCTGCTCTATGGGCTGGGAAGGTGGCTCAGTGGTAGAGCGCTTGCCTTGCATGCCTGAGGCCCTGGGTTTGATTCATCAGCACCACATAAGCAAAAAGAAAAAGAAAGCTGGAAGTGGCACTGTGGCTCAAGTGGTAAAGCACTAGCCTTGAGCTGAAGAGCTGAGGGATAGCACCCAGGCCCAGAGCTCAGGCCCCATGACCGGACCCAAAAAAACAACAAAACAAAACCTTTCCTGCTCTGTCTGGCCTCAAACTATGGCCTTTCCAATCTCAGCTTCCCAAGATTAAAGGGGTGAGCTACAGTGTCAAGCTGATTTCTACTTCCATGAATATATGAATATCCATTTTCTACCTTTATATATTTTATTATTTAAAACATTTTCTAGATATTAGTCCTTTCTGTTTTTTATGTTGCAAACATTTCCATTCTATTGCTTTTCTCTTTTCCACATGTTTATATTTGTCAGTTTTTATATTTCTGAGATACCAAAAATGTCTTTCTGGTTTTTAATAATCTTGTATTTAGAATTTTGCCTTTAAATTTTTCTGAAATTCATTTTGTATGTAGTAGAAGAGAGAAATCATGCTGAGACTAAACCCCAGGATTTACTTACTTTTCATACACACACACACACACACACACATATACACATATACATATTTTTTTTTTGGTGTTAGTCCTGGTGCTTTACCTAAGGGTCTAGACACTGTCCCTTTTTGCTTGAGGCAAAAAAGCTTTTTCATATTTGCTCTACCTCTTGAGCCACAGCTCCACTTCAGGCTCTTAATTGCTACTTAATTGTTGATAAAGAGTCTCATGGACTTTCCTGCCTCAGCTGGCTTCAAACAGCAACTCTCAGATTTCAGCCTCCTGAGTAGCTAGGATTACAGGTGTGAAACACTAGCATCTGGCCAATATGTTTTTTATTATGAAAAATTTTAAGTATACTCAATAGTAGAGATATTAGTTCAAAAAACTCCCATAGATCAACCACTGAAATTCAAATCATACAGATTTTTCTATATCTGCTTTACCTATTTTCTTTTCCTTTGCTACAGTATCTAAAAGTAAATTCCAAGGAGATTATATAATATCCTACATGCTTTAATAAAAATCTCTAAGCATGTGAATTTCTTTGGCAGTACTGAGTTTTGTTTTTCTGTTTTTTCGGTCGGGCTTGAACTCTGGGTTTGGGCACTGTCCCTCAGCAATTCAGCTCAAGGCCAATGCTCTACCACTTGAGCTACAGCGCCACTTCCGGTTTTCTGGTGGTTTATTGGAGATAAGAGTCTCATGGTCTCTCCTGCCCGGGCTGGCTTTGAATGCGATCCTCAGATCTCAGCCTCCTGAGTAGCTAGGATTACAGGCGTGAGCCACCAGCGCCCTGCGGCAATACTGAGTTTTGAACTCAGGCCTCACACTTACTATGGCTGTTGAACCATGCCTGTAGGCCTCTTTTGCTCTGGTTATTTGGGGAAAGGATTTTACTTTTTGCCTGATTTATAGCTGGACTGTGTTCTATCTATTTTATGCTTTCTGACACAGCTGAGATGATCTGTACCACCATAACCAACTTTTTTCTTTTGAGGTAGAACCTCATAATCTTTTCCTGCAGAGCTTAATCTTCTTGATTTTAGCTTCCTATGTAGTGGGTATCATATACGCCACCAGTATCTAGTATCAGGTGCCAGTAGCATCTGACTATCGCACTATGTAGCCAAGGGTGCCTTGAAATATGTAAATCTCCTGCCTCAGCCTTCTAAGCATAGATGTATGTGATCAGGCCTGGCTTGTTTACTAAGTGATACTATTTTTTTTTTTCTTTTGAAGTGCCAGGACTTCTTGCTAGGCAAGTGCTCTATCATGAAAACCTTAAACCAGGGCTCAGCATGTGCTACACAGGTACTCTACTGAGAGTTCCATCTTTACTCTGAGATTCTGAATTTTATAAAATTTTGGGCATCTATGAAAATGAACACAGAAATTTTGAGTTTTATTCTGCAATTTATTGCATTGATACACTTCTGAATGTTGAGTCACCTTTGTACCTTAGTCATGAATTTTAAACATAGCTGGATTCACTTTTATTAAAATGCATTTAGCTTTTTTTTTTTTTTTGTGCTGAGCCTAGAGCTTGAACTCTGGGCCTGGGTGCTGTCCCTGAGTGAGGGCTCTACCACTTGAGCCAGAACACCACTTATGGATTTTTTTTTTGAGTAGTTTAGTGGAGATATGAGTCTTATGAACTTTCTTGCCTTGGCTGGCTTTGAACTGTGATCCTTAGATCTCAGCCTCCTGAGTAGCTAGGATTACAGACATAAGCCACTGGTGCCCTGCATATTTAGTATTTTTACAAGTTTGTTAAGCCTTTGTTAAAAAAAAAAGAATTAACTGACCATATGTATGTGGACCTATTTCTAGACTCTTCCTTTTGTTTTACGTAAACCTAACCTTACCACAATACATCGATTACTATATTCTTCAAATCAGGTAGAATAAGATAGATTTCTAACTTTATCCTTCATTTTCAAGATTTTTAGCTATTCTAGATTATTTGCACCCATGTATCTTTGAGAATCAGTGTGTCAATTTTTATTAAAGAAAAAGCTTGCTGGGTTTGACTTGTATTGCATTATAAATGCAGAGGTAACTGGCATTTTAAAAATTACTAAAGCCCTGCAATTCTAGCTACGCAAGAGGCTGAGATCCAAGGATTGCAGTTCAAAAGCCAGCCCAAGCAAGAAAAACTGTGAGACTCATCCCCAATTAACTACCAAAAAAGCCAGAAGTGAAGCTATGGTTTAAGTGGTAGAGTGTTAGTCTTAAGAGAAAAAAGAAAAGAAAAAGATAAATGAAAAAGAAAGCTAGGGATCAAGCTCTTTAGGACTATAACCCAAAATAAATAAATAAATAAAATTTCAAGGCCCTTATCATCCAGTGAAAGGGCAAGCCTCTTCCTGAAAATTTTGGAATTTAGGCTTCTATAGTCATAAGATTCCCAGTCTCTGGATGTAGGTCCCTGGTAGGTGAGCAGAACCATTGTAGCTATGCGTGGCTGCCTGGTGACAGGAGGCTGAAGAAGGTAGCCAACACCTTTTTGGATCCATAAATATTGTCCAAAATATATCTGTTGTTTATATTGGAAATTCAGTGAAATTATTTGACTGTGTGGCTAAACAATGCCTGTTTCAATTCTCACTTGACTCATTCACTAACTTAGACAAAAGATGTTAGACAACTTCTACAACTTTGCTCCATCATTTGCTGTCTCTCAGCTGCAGATGATGTCAAGTTCACCTGAAATATTCATTCTAGTAAATGTGATAAACTTTCAAGGCAGAAAACTTGTTTTAGCTGGGTGCTGGTGGCTCCCACCTGTAATTTCTAATTATTCAAGAGGCTGAGATCTGAGGATCACAGTTCAAAACCAGCTCCGGCAGGAAAGTCTGTGAGACTCTTATCTCTAATTAACCACTAGAAAACCAGAAGTGTAACAGTGGTTCAAAGTGGTAGAGTGCTAGCCTTGAGTGAAAAGGCTCAGGGACAGTGCCAAGGCCCTGAGTTCAAGCCTTATGACTGACAAAGAAAAAAAATTTCTGTTTTAGAAGTTCAAAAGTCTATATAAGGGTCTGGGAATGTAGCTTAGTGGTGGGATGATTTCTTACCTAACAGGCATGAAGCCCTAGGTTTGATTTCTCAGTTCCCATAAACAGAAAATCCAGAAGTGGTCTGTGGTTCAAGTGGTAGAGCAATAGCCTTGAGCACAGAGAGGCTCGGGGACAGAGCCCAGGCTCTGCTAGAGGCAAGGCCCAGGACCAGCAAAAAAAAAAAAAAAAAAAGTCTATATGAGGCTACCTATATCTTATGTTCTTATTCTAGTACCACACTGTCTCAATCAATAGTTTTATATACACTTTGAAATCTAGAAGTATGAGTCTTCTTTCTTTTCAGTACTGTTTTGGCTATTTGGGGAAGGGGGGCTGCTTAGGATTTCATATAATTTTTAGGATGGCCTTTTCTATTTCTTTCTTTTTTTAAAGCCCATTGTTAGGATTTTCACAAGAGACTACACTGAATTTAAAAATCATTTTAGGTGTTACTGTCTTTTAACTTTATCTTCTATTCTATGACCACTGGATGTCTTTCCACTGGGATTAAAATAGGGACCACACTGAATCTGTACATCATTCTGGGTATTATTGTTATCTTTTTTTCAATGTTATTTGAGTTGGCCCTAGCCTGGTCTAAAACTTATGAACCCAACCAATGCTTTTGCCTTAGCGTCCTTAGTGGCTGGGACTACAGGCATGTTTGCTATTCCTAGCTGTTACTGTCATTTTAACAGTAACTTCCAATCTATTTGGTTACGCTGTTTTAAATTTCTTTCACCAATATTTTGGAGTTTCTTTTCCTTTCTTGTCAGTCATGGGCCTTGAGTGCTGTCCATGTGCTCTTCAGCTCAAGGTGAGTGCTCTACCGCTTGGGCCAAAGCACCATTTCCAGTTTTATAGTTGTTTATTGGAGATAAGTGTCTCACAGACTTTCCTGCCGGGGCTGGTTTTGAATCGTGATCCTCAGATCTCAGCCTCCTGAGTAGCTAGGATTACAGGCATGAGCCACTGGTGCCCAGCTTTCTTTCTTTTTTTGTCTCTCCCTTCATTTTCACTCTTACTCTTCATATATTTGTTGTTGCAGACTTCATATATTTGTTGTTTCAAGACTGTTCTTTTTTATTTTTTTAATGTATTTATTTCTTTTTTTAAAATTTAATTTAATTTTATTTGTGAACATACTGTACAGAGGGGTTACAATTACATAGGCAGGATAATGCGTACATTTCTTACCAAGCATTGCAGCCTCCTCCTTTGGTTTACCCTTCACATCCCTTCCCAGTCTCCCCCCTCCCCCCCAATCCCAATCCTTCAAGACTGTTCTTTAGTGTATAGGACTACAACTGATTTTTGTATGCGTGTGTGTGTGTGTGTGTGTGTGTGTGAGCTTTTTTGCTGAAGGCTAGTGCTTTACCACTTGGGCTACAACTCCACTTCTAGCCTTTTTGGTGCATAATTTGAGATCAGAGTCTCATGGACTAAATTTGAGATTAGAGTCTCATGGACTTTCCTGCCCAGGCTAGCTCTGAACCATAATCCTCAAATCTCAGCTTTCTGAGTAGCTAGAATTCCAGGCATGAGCCACCAACACCAGAATTGTATGCTAATTTTATATTTTTGTGCTAACATTACTATATTCATTTATTGGCTTTTAATAATTTTTTGGTGGAATTCTTTAAAATTTAACTTTATTTTTTTGTACTAGTCCTGGGGCTTGAACTCAGGGCCTGGGCACTGTACCTGAGCTTTTTAATTCAAGGCAGGCACTCTGTCACTTGAGCCACAACTCCAGTTCCCCATGTGTGGTGGTTAATTGGAGATAAGAGTCTCATGGACTTTCCTGTCTGGGCTGGCTTTGAACTGCAATCTTCAGATGAGTCTTCTAAGTAGTTAGGATGACAAGTGAGACATTGGTACCTGGTGATTTTTAATTATTTCTTATTAAGTAGTTGTACAAAGTGGTTTCAATTCCACAAGTCAAATTACAAGTATAATGTATCTTGATCAATTTCACCCCTTCCATTATTTGGTGGAATCTTTAGGATTTTTCACATTCAAAATCATGCCATCTGTGAAAAGAGATAATTTTACTTCTTCCTTCCCAAAGTAGATGCCTTTTACCACCCTCCCTCTTTTCTAACTGTCTGGGTAGGATTTCTAGTACTAAGTTGAATAGATATACTAACTTAGCTTAGTCTTGAGCTTAGAGAAAATGCTTTAAGTTTTTTATCATTGTCAATTTTTTCTATAACAAATTATGCAGTGGTTTGGTGCAATTTTCTTTGTGTTTTAAGTGCTGAGCTCTTTAGATACTCGTTTACAGTTTTTATTAAATTTGGACAACATTTAGCAAAAACCAGGTTTTAGGGGCTTTAGGGAGAAGTAAGTATATTTTACATGTGAGAGGGATGTGAATAATTATGGTTGAAAGAGATTTTTTTTCTTTTTTTGTAAATAACTACTACAATGTTCCAATTTGACATGGTCTTCTAGAACTTTTCTCTCTCCCCACACTATGGACAAGCATTGTGACTGGCTCAATTAACAAAATGGGATACAAATATCATCATGGTATTTCTAAGGCCAGGTTATAAGGATAACATAGATTCAACTTGTCTTCCCACTCTTAAGACTCATAACTCTGGGGCTTCATGTAAGAAGTACATTCATTATGGATCAAGAAAATGTGGTATATATACACAATGGAATTCTATGCCTCCATCAGAAAGAATGACATTGTCCCATTTGTTAGGAAATGGAAAAACTTGGAAAAAATTATATTAAGTGAAGTAAGCTAGGC